CTCCTTACCAGCAAGTTTTACTATGTATACTACCCCTCCTTCAAAGGCTTACTGGTCTAACTCAATACCCCCCTACCCCTGTTTTCCTAGCATCCGTGACAAACACTCTATCCGTATCCGTGAATATCCGTGAGTTCCCGGATACATTCCGGATACCTTCACGTGCTGTGCTGGAATGGTGTCGAGAGAAACGAGTGAGGGAGGCCGAGCATGCGATCAGGAGGGGTGGGGAAAGGAGAGGGAGGGGGAGGAGGAGAGCAGGAGAGGAGGAGATGAGGAGAGGAGGAGAGGAGGAGGAGGAGGAGGAGAGGAGGAGGAGAGGAGGAGGAGGAGGAGAGGAGGAGAGGAGGAGAGGGAGGAGGAAGGAGGAGGAGGGAAGGAGGAGGTAGGAGGAGGAGGAGGAGGAGGAGGAGGAGGAGAGGAGAGGAGGAGGAGGAGGAGGAGGAGGAGGAGGAGGAGGAGGAGGAGGAGGATATGATCAGGAAATCATAGTGATCATGGAAATGTCAATGAGCATGACGATGAAGATAGTTGAATGGATGAAAGGGCAGTGAGAATTGAAGCATAACACCTCGAAGCCTTCGACTCAGACAGACTGTCACCTCCACAAAGCAGGTCCGAGCTTGACTCCACCTGCGTCATCATTACAACCATCCTTTCCTCCCCCTTCCCTCCCCCTCCCCTCCCTCCCTCCCTCCCTCCCTCCCTCCCTCCCTCCCTCCCTCCCTCCCTCCCTCCCTCCCTCCCTCCTCTCTTCCCATGACTCAACCGACGTCTCACAGGCGCTAGTCACCGGCTTCAGCCTCCTCACGGGCCTGCTGGGAGGAGCAGCAACCGGTGAACCTCCTAGGCCCTCCTGGGGCGGGCCTGCTCCTGACTCCCTCACCCAGGGATCATCGCCAAGTTCGCCGGTAGAATCGCACTGGCCGGCAGCTACTCCGACCATGTCTTCTGGATCGTTCCTGTACGCGTTGCTGTCTGCTTCCCACCCTCGCTGACTTGTTCTTCTCCTCTCCTTCTGTTCTGTTCTCTTCTCTTCTCTTCTCCACTCTCTTCCCGTCGTCTTTCCTCCCCTCCCTCCCCTCTCTCTTCTTCAGGATGACTTCACGCACATCGGAGAGGTCGACGCTGATGTCAAGGTTATGTAAGTCCTGTCGGCTCGCCGTCACTACCGTCCTGGTTCCGCTGGCGCTGCGAAACGCTCTCCTCTTCCCCACTTGCAAGGTTGCCTGCGTTGCTGTTTGATCGAAGATGTACAACTCTTGAAACCTGCCTGCTGTTCCACGACGCGATCAAGGTTTCACAGAGTCAACGCTTGCCTTCGTCTACCCGCCCTCTCCCTTCCTCCTCTCCTCCTCGCTCCTCCTCCTCGCTCCTCCTCCTCGCTCCTCCTCCTCGTTACTTCTCCTCCTGCTTCTCCTCCTGCTTCTTCTTTTCCTCCTCCCAACCAAAACATTGAGCACCCTTCAATTCCCCCACAGCTCCTTACTGCCAACTCAGTGGTTTGTGGATGGTATATTTACCATTGGGAAGAAGGGAGGGGAAGAATTCTATCTCATCCCCATCACCGTCCTCCGCACCATCAACCTTTACACGCCAGCACAGCTGCCACAGCTTGCAGCAATCCTTGCTTCCCAGCTCAGTGGCCAGTCGGGTCCGATCGGATTACATCCTCCCTTCTCCCTCCAGCCAGCGTCTATAAGTGATCAGCCTGAGCTGTTACACGTTCCTCGTCCGCTTTCTGGCTGTCACAAGGGATCATCGGATCCTCGTTCTCTCAGCAGTGAATCGATGATTGACTCCAGAGGAGGAGGAGGAGGAGGAGGAGGAGGAGGAAGGCTTTTTGCCTCCGTCTCCTGCATCTGACCGACCTCACTGCTCGCTCCCTCTCACCATGCGCCTCCTCCCATTCCAGCCGCACAATCATTCCGGTGTTCTTTCCCACACTTGCCTTCATGGCGCTGCTCCAAGCGCTGACTAGCCCCGCGGTCAAGTTGAGCGTGAAAGCTGCCACCATCGACGATCATCGCCGGATACGTCATGTACTGAGAGGCCTGAGACCATCTGCGTTGTGCTGACAAGGCCCTCGCAGTCCTCAGGGGCACTGCAGTCTGTTCTCTCAGCGTGAGGGTCCCTGAGGTGATCCTGGCAGACGGGGGACAAGCTTGAAGCTCTCAGAAGGATGTGCGGGACGGGCCCGTTCCTGGTGACAGTCTTCGGCGTCAGCGCGAACGCGCGGCAAGATCTGCTTTGACGAAGAGGGCTGCCCAAAGAAGAGACTCAGTGTATGTACTTGAACACAGTCCCCCCCGCCGGGGCCCGGCTCGGCTCAGCGGCCGCTGCCATTCCGACTGAGGGCCCCGGCCCCGGCCGGGCGATCAGACTGAACGTGACTGATCGGTACCGTACCCCCACTCGGATCTGGGTATGTGCAGGTGAAGGGAGTGGTCCTTGTATATAGGGGTGATTAGAGGGAGAATTGGGGGTCATCGACAGGGTGGGTACTTGGACATAAGGCTCAGATGACGGGTGGTCGGGAAGACAGAAGGGTGATAGAGTGCCATGGAAGGAATCATTATTGGGGGTAGGGGGTAGTTCTGATGATGTGGTCGTGGTCTTTCTTAGGGTGGTGACGGATTTAACTGGGTCCATTTGACTTTCAATGGGTACTTTTATACCAACTTTTGTTATGCGTGTGGGGTCATGAAAATTAAGAATGGGTAGGGGTAGTGAAAATCATGGTCCTCTGTGTTTGTAGGGGGTAGGGGTCAGCTTCAGTAGGGTGGGGTAGTGCCGGCCAGCTCAGATGGTGGAAAAATCAGTTCACATGGGCTGTACGGGAGGAAGTAGAGGAGAGCGAGAGGGAGAAGGAGGAGAAGGACGAGGACTGATGGAGGAAGGAGACTTTTCGCACTCAGAACTTGTACAGAATGCTTCATGCGCATACTCGGCTTCCAGCGCTCACTATCTCACCCCTACGCGCCATTGTAGCCTCGGTTCGTTTCCTCCCAGCGTGGGTTACCAGAGCAGTCGATCCGAAAGCTTGGCCATGCCATCCGACAGGACGAACTCATCGATCCGATGTTGCTCTCCACCACGTGGATGTGAATCTCGCATCGGACGTCACAGTATGCAGCATAAGTTGTTGCCCCTATCATGTATATTCTCCATGTTCCAACCTTCCTTCGTACCAAATGTTTCATGTTTCTCGCACCTCTGTTCAAGGAATTTTTGTGCTAAAAGATCTCAGAAGCGGCAGCAACGCATTTTTACTTTTCGTGCCGCCTCCCTTGTTTTTCTCATGTTCAGCTTCGCAATGCCTCTTCATCCTGTTATATGCCAAGTCAATCACCAAGAAGGTAATTCCGTTCTCTTAACCTGCCTTTCACGACACTCCTTTGCTTCGCGTTGTAACTCATCATCGTTATGAGCAGATTCAAACCTGGGCAGCCCACATGGTGCAAGGCAAAATTTTGACAAAGCGCATGACCCACAAAACTTCAAACAAGATTGGACAATTATCTGGTTCTCTGAAGAGCTGAAAGAGACGAAAGTCGCGGATTTGCAATCTGCTCAGGAGTTTGTTGACCATCTGGCAGATAAAACGCCATATCAGGTTGGACGATGAGAATTTTTACAGGGCGACACGAGCTGAACGTTTCTGACAGATCCTGAATCGTGGAAACGAACATTCGAGGGAGCCCATGAGCTCCTTCTGGCCACCCGACTGGCCGACCATGTGGCCTGCTGATGGATCATATAGCCACCTTCCTGCTTGGAATTATCTGAATCAAATCTTGCACAGAAGAATGCAGGAGCTGCGCGAGACTCGCCAGGGAAAGTCCTCCGATGAACCTGACAGCTCTGCGGGCCGAAACACTCCAGAGAGCTCCCAGCCGGAGGAGCCTTTTCAGCATCCTGCTCTGAATGCCCACGATCCAGTCACTCCTGCAGATACTACATCCATCGATGCTGCTGGTTCAGAAAGGGACTTGCTAGATGCACCTCGAACTCCCAGGGAGAATGGTGGGGAGCCTTCTGAGCAGTCTCAATCTCCTCAAGACAGAAGGCAAGCGAGTCAGTTTGAAGGCTTGTCAGCAGCAACTCCGCCCGATGGCTCAAGGTCCTCTGATCAAGTTGTGCAGCACGAGGCTCTGAAAGACTCGTCGGTGAAAGCAAGTGATGCAGTGCAAGATGTCACAAATCCCAAGACCGAGGAGGAGGGGAACAGTATGCAGAAGGAGGACATGAAGGTCATGGGGGAGAGAGCAAAGGAGGAAGGCAAAGAGGAAGGCAAGGACGAAAAGGAGGACAAGGACAAGGAGGCCGCACAGGTCAAGAAAGAGGAGGAAGAAGAGGAGGAAGAACAGAACAGTGGTCTGCCAAAGTACTTTCACTGGAGGCAAGATGCCATTGAGAACTTTCTCGAAGAATTTCTGATAGATATGAAAAATGACAATCCTGGATTTTTGGAAACCTTTGATGTCAATCCTTACATCGATATTCTCTCAAATGAAATTGAGCGAATGCACAACTTGATACCGAGGCAGGGAGGAAGTGTGTTGAGGAAAAAGATTCGTATGATATGCAACAAGATTACCACTCAATGGAAGGATCAGGTCAAGATCAACAATCGATTGATCGAAGAAGCGAAACAGAAAGCTAAAGAGCAAGTTGTGACCAGCTCAGCCCCGTCAGATCCGTCTGGTCAGGCGCAACACCAGCCTCCAGTCGGCACGACAGACGCGATAGGAGAGTCTCTTGTTGATCCTTCATCGCCCGCTCCGTCAGGTGTGAGTCAAAGCGCGACAGAAGGACGAGAGCAGAGGGAAGCGCAAAGGGACGGTGAGAAGGAGGAGGAAAGAGCTCAGGGCTTGCTGGCCGAATCGCAGATGGAGATGGCGAAGGAGACAGAGGTATTGAAAGATGCAGCGGCGGCAGATGTGCAAACGGCTGCTGCTGAGGAGATTAAGATGAGAGAAGGTCAGAAGGAGACAAGTCAGCAGAGGGAAAGCCTGGCCGTGGAAGGGAGGGAGGGATCTCGCGGAACTACAGAGCAGGTGCAAGCGAACGCTGTGGAATACGTCAATGAAGAAGCGACTATGAGGAGAGAAACGGAACAGGAGCTAAATGGGGTGAACCAGGAGAAGGGGGAGGAGAGTGGTAGTGGAATGCAAGAGCATACCCCCGCTGTAGAGCACGACTCAAGGAACCCCTCTGCAACAAGAGAAGAGTCCTTCCAGCAGAGTGAAACAACGCTGACGGAGGAGCAGATGAAGTTTCCTTCTGGGAGCTTGATGGATATGTTTTACAATCGTTGCTTTGTGAAAGACGATGGGTGGTGGACTTACGAGCTCTGCCACGGCAGAAACGTCACTCAGTTCCGAAGAGTTGTCAACGAGGCTGGAGTGCAGTTGAGGATGCAAGGAAGCCTGCTTGGTGTCTGGCTTCCTACGGAGGGCTCACTGGAGGGTTCAGAGCAGGAACAAGTCCATCACTACGTCCAAGGCACTCCATGCGGCGATGGGGCGCAGCCAAGGGAGGCTCGTGTCCACTTCCGGTGATTTGTTTCTGCCTCTGCAATCGTTCCCTCGTTGATCTGTTTTTTTGCCTTGCAGGTGCATTGCAGGGAAGAATGCAGTGAGCGACAGGATCGAGAGCATCCGAGAAGACAGCTTGTGCAACTACAAGATCACCTTCCTGTCCACACACGCTTGCAAGGCAGACTTGTCAGGCCGGGTGAACTCAAACCAAGATCTCGTGGACCCGACGCAACCCCGAGGATCGGCGGAGGGGGGAACGGAGGTCCCGTGGACAGAGACGCTGATCGAAGACGCCCTGGCGCTGCAGCACCGCATCGGGATAAGATCTCGGCATTGCTTCAACCTGAATCAGGCCTGCTCCATGTCCTTCTGGCTTTGGCTCCACGACTATGACATGTCGCCGGGAGGGATCGGGGAGCGGAGCATCTTTACTGTCAAGGAGGCCATGTTCACGGTCTCTCCCCACCTCCTCTGGGGCTTCTCGCAGGCCCCGGGGCTGATCTTCTGCGGCCTTCATACCATAGCGATGAATCAGATGGTTGGCAGCTTCACCTCGAAGCCCCTGCCCCTGGAGCAGTGGAACCACATCGCTGTGGTCTGGCATGGCCCCATCCATAGAAGGCTGGACTGCATCATCAACGGAGAGGTACAGACCGTCGTCATGGCTCCCTCCAACCTTTATGCCAACCCCAAGGACTCCTTGACCAACCTCTTCATTGGAGGCAGCCCACAATTCCACCCAGCTGCGAGCGGGGTGATCGCTCACGCGGACATGCACTACGGACAGGCTCTCGACGTTCCTTCGATCCTTGATCTCATGTCTCGCTGGAACGACCGGCCGACGCTGTTGCGCAAGACTGACTTGCTCACTTCGTTTTCCCCGGCCAGCTCAAACCCAGCAGCCGCCCGTCGTGGCGTCGAGCTGCCCCCGGGCAACCGGACCAACGCTGCCATGTGGTTTCACATGAACGAATTGTTTGCGGGCAAGGAGCATGCGCTGCTTGCCTTGGGCCACCTGCACCTGATGGGCCTGGATGGAGCAACTAAGTCATGCCAGCTGGCAGCTGCATACTACCGCACTGCTGCTGAGATCGCGCTGCGAGACCTTGAGTCTCCTGATGCAGCGAGTGTGGAGTTCATCCGGCTGTCCCAGGAGGTGGAGAAGGGCGATGCCTTCGCCGGGCAAGGGGGGGAGGACGACGACATCTTTCAGTACCAGGAGACCCTAGCGGAAGCTGGAGACACGCGGGCACAGGCATGGCTGGGCCACCGATACTACTGGGGAGCAGGGGGAGTGCCGAGAGATCGAGGAAGAGCCCTGGAGTATCTCCAACGAGCGGCAAGGGACGGGAACGTGGAGGCTCAGTACAACCTTGGGGTAATGTACGCGTACGGTCATGGCGTGCCCAAGGACAGGAACGAGTCGCTCAATCTGTTCCGCAAGGCTGCCGCTCAAGGGTATGTGGCCGCACTCAATGGTCTCGCGCTGTCGCTCACCGACGGGTCGGCAGACAACAACTTCACCGAAGCCTTTCACTACTTTAACCAGTCGGCTCTGTCGGGGAACGCCGACGGGCTCTACAACGCTGGCTTGCTGCTCAAGGACGGACGGGGGGTGGAGAGGAACGAAGAGCTGGCGCTGGCTTACATTACTAACGCAGTAGCGCTGGACCACCAGGCCGCTCGTCTGGCTCTGGCTATGATGCACATCGAGGGGAAGGGAACGGTATCGTCCTGCCTGCGAGGCACGCTGCTGTTCAAGGACGCTTCGGAGAGAGGGAAGTGGGGGGTGCTGCTGCGAGATGGCCTACAGGCTTACATGAGAGGAGACATCGACTCCTCCTTGGCTTCCTACGAGGCAGCGGCTGAGCTGGGGTACGAAGTAGCTCAGAGCAACGCAGCCTGGCTGTACCAGCGGTGCGCTGAAGGCATCGTCAGTTGCAAGGCGAAGCCGCAGGAAGCTCTACGCAGGTCCTTTGAGCTCCTGACCATGGCAGCTAACAATGGGAATATGGAGGCTAAGAGGATCATCGGAGATCACCTGTGGTACGGGCAGGGGACTCGGGCCAACCGTGGGAAAGCCATGGACTACTACCTGCAGGCAGCTCGGGGGGGAGACGAGGAGGCGGCATTCAACCTTGCATGGGCGACCCTTGCAGGCCTGTCAGGGGAGCAGAGGAACGCAACGAGGGCGCGCATGATCGCTGCCGAAGTCCTACAGGCTCGACAGTGGGACCTCTCCTCCCCCAAACTCCTGCCCTTTTGGCTGGTCTGGGGTATCGCGGAGAGCATCCTTTCGGTCGACAAGATGAAGGAGGCGCTGCTGGAACCATCCACGTTGGGAGGAAACTGGAAGAGCTTCCTCCTCTCAGAAGCTCCCAGCGGGACAAGGGAAGGTATCCTGCTCAGCGAGTCTGATGTCTTTGTGAGCCTGCTCGCAACCCTCGCCCTCATCCGCCTCGTGCAGCGACTTATGCAGGGACCAGCTCGTCCACAGGAGATGCCGTAGGAGGAGCTTCTCTTGCTAAGGAGGATGTAGAATGAATTCAGCTGCCTTCTTAGATTGGAGGGTATTTTTTCATGGGCAAGGACTCGTTGCAGGAGGAGAAGCAGGATACGAGGTGGTCGTTGTGGAGGAGGATTCTTTCAAACAATGTTCATCCATGACAACACAATACACTTCAGATTATCTGAAACGACACATTTCGAGGCAAAAAACTTGATGTGGGTAACAAGAGCATCAGACCTCTGCTCACTTCCTGCGGTAGAAATAGTCCCACTGTCTGCGAGCTCTTCGCCAATCATCGTATGAGGCCTGCGCGTTGGCAAGGTAGTAGGCGTCCTGAGCCTTCATGTAGTAAAAGCGAGCAGTCTTGTTGAAGTCTGCTGCTTGTGCATAGAGAGCAGCCTGTAGGATGGAGTTAGATGCTGCGGGTGATGGTGAGTGAAACGGAGGACTTACCGCATGTTTCTGTCCGGACAAGAGGCAGCAGCATGAACGAGCAGGAGAGGAGGGAGGGAAGAAGAGTCAGTGTGAACCAACACATGCCATCCAGTCAACGCAGACAAGAATGGGGAACCATCCAGTTTCATAGTCACTGACAAGCAAGCGAAGGTGTGCTAGAAGATCTGATACATTGTGGCAAACAATAACGGAAAGTCGAGCAAAGAAAAATCGCACCAAACTCTCCTCTTATCGCACACTTTGTTAATGTTATTACAAAATTATTCCATCAGAGTTCTCAACCACGACCGTAAAATGCAAACAAAAGGTGATTTGTGTCCAACACGTCCATCGTGTCGAACACAGCACCACTCTGCATCAACATCACCCTTTTCATCTTGACAAGCCTCACAACAATCTTCTCTACTTGATACAAGCATTATCACATTATCAAATCATCACATACATCCTCCTCCACATTCATCTCTAGACTTACGCCATAGAGCTCCTCCGTCATCCTCAGACGCTCGAACACCATGGCTGCCGGGTTTCTATTTCGGGGTGTGGAAGTTTTACTCAAAACATATTTCTTCAACTCTCAAGAATAAATGAATTCTAAACTTTAGTCAACTAAGAATGATACTGAGTTTGTAGTTAGAATATATTTAGTCAAACTTGTTGATAAAAATTTGTTTTAAATCGTGCAGCACCAAGACAACAATGCTAAACCTTCTAAATCGGTTGCCCAAGGATTCTCTGGAGCACTCATTGAAAAATTTGAAATTTAATCAGATAATTTAAGTTTGATACAAATATTCAATATTTACCACATAGATTTGGGACTACCCCACCCATGCTAGCAATAAGATACTTGGGCGGGTCCTGAAAGAAAACTCAAGGTAGTCGCGATTAAGCAATTCGGGAAGAGGTAGGGTGATATATCCCTACCCTTATACTTAGGTCATAATTACCCTTACTTTGTGGGTATTATCCAAACATACAATGAAAAAGACGGGTAGTGTCATCATTGCGTAGGGTGGTCTGAAAATCCATGGGGTGGTCTGCGTGGGTGGGGTCATGATGCCCTTCTCCTGATTTAGAACCAGAGTTGCATTATCGCTTCTCATCCTACCAGCGTCTCGCACCTCCCCCCTCCCTACATCCTCCTCCTCCCACTCTCTTGCCCTCTGTCTCCCTCCCCCTCAGCCCCCTTCTTGAAGCTTTGTGCCTCTCCTACTCTCCTTTGAGACAGAGCTTCATCTCAACACCTCATCGTCGTCTTCCCGGCACATCGCTTGCTCTACCAGACAGAACAGTATGTTTGCACTTCTCGTTCAGTTGCACAAGGTGGGGGACATTGCAGTCACTCAGTTCCTCTCTACCTCTACCCAGATTGAGTCTGCTGGAGACACCGAGTCTCTGGACGTCGCTGGCTCAATCCCGACCATTTCTCCTGAGCTCATGGCGAAAGAGAAAGATAAGGCAAAGCAGGGCTTCTGCGAGACTGGATTGTGGAACTGCACAGACTTGTGGGGACCTTAAGTGAGAGCAGGAGTCATTCTTTTTATTTTTCTTTTCTGGGGAGGTCGATGGAGTTTTTCCTTGTGGATTTTTGGAGGAGGGAGCTAGGGAAAGAGGGGCGGTTGAAGTAGAGGGAATGTGGAGTATGGAGAAAGCGATTGGATTTAATAATAGTACATAGAACCGTTAAGTTGATTCGCCTTGCTATTGCTGTCTCATCGTTCTTGTAACTGAGACAACTCTTCGTCAATCCTCGACTTCTCGAACTTTCCGAGTTTTTTCCCCACATACCTATCGAACCCCACCAATCATGCAGAGCGCACATAGCAGGGTATATCTTACGATCCCACGAGAGCACCAGTAGCTGCTCCTGCCGCCATGCCAATCTGCATGCATGTGAGCTGGGGAGGAACGGCAAGAGAACTCACAGGCCCTCCTATGATTCCCACGATGCCGCCAACTGCAGCAGCTGTCGCCCCTCCTTCAAACTGCCGCCTGTTTGCTCTGAGGGAAGCGCAGGTGTCAGCGGACTGCTCATTGGAGCTCTTCAGGAGCAGAGGAAGTTTCACAGGAGGACACGGTCGTGCACTGGTAGGACCTCACCTCGATTTTCCAGCTTTGGCGAACTGATGAGCCGCATCGTTGGACCTTTCCTTGGCATCCTCGAGCTGGCATGACAGCACCCCGTCCTTGCCAAGAGTCTCTCCCTTCCCACGGCGTGTCAGCATCCCAGGTCGCCGCTCATGGCAGCACCTGCTGGAGGACGAGCTCGCCAATGTCCCTCATACACTCGTTGATCGCCGCCACGTCCTTCTCAACCTGTTCCATCGCTGCATCATCTCACTTGCAAGACACACACCTCCTCAAGCAAGTCATCGTCGACATATTCTGCTCCATCGCAAACTTTCAAGGGCTCTTGCGCAAAAGGCACAACTCATAGCATCGAAACAACTCATAGCATCGAAACATCACAGCATCGAAACATCACACAGCATCGAAACATCACACAGCATCGAAACATCACACAGCATCGAAACACCAGGCTCCACCCAGTGTCACTCGGACGACCCACCCAGGCATCCCTGCTCATCTTGACTGACCTTGCTTAGCTCGACTGATCTTTCATCTACGAGGATCTCTCTCTCGCGAAGCTCAAGGTTGGTAGTGGCCAACTGCTGCTCCAGCTGCAGGTCTGTCCCCTCCTCCCTGCCCGGGATGGAGAAATTGCTGTACTGTTGTCTCGCTCCTGAAGCTACTGCACAGCTCGGCTCCTCGCGTATCTCCCTACCTCTCCTCCGCTGCTGCACATCTAGCTTCTTCAGCTTGTCAATCATCGCCTGGCGCATGTCCCGTCATGTCAAGGGGAAGGTTCAGGGAGCTCCCTTACCATGTTCGTCCTCTTCAACCTCTCCAGCATGACCTTCTCACTTTGAGAGGTAGCGTCTCTCAGGCAAGCCCTGATGCTCTCTTCCAACTCCTTGCATACCGCGCTCCCCTCGTCAAGTTTTCCTGCTGTCACGAGGTTCGAGGCAATCTCCAGCTTCTCGCTCAACTTGTTCAGGTTAACCATCCTCTTCCTGTGGCCCTCCTCCTCCTCCTCTCTTTCTTCCCTCAGCCCTGTGGCAAACAGTCATTCCCGCTCCAACAAAGTTTCCATTCCAGCAACCCAACGTCCACAGAAAGCTTCTCAGCATTCAACGTCCACAGAAAGCTTCTCAGCATTCAACGTCCACAGAAAGCTTCTCAGCATTCAACGTCCACAGAAAGCTTCTCAACATTCAACATCCACAGAAAGCTTTTCAACATTCAACGTCCACAGAAAGCTTTTCAACATTCAACATCCACAGAAAGCTTTTCAACATTCAACGTCCACAGAAAGCTTCTCAGCATTCAACGTCCACAGAAAGCTTTTCAGCATTCAACGTCCACAGAAAGCTTTTCAACATTCAACGTCCACAGAAAGCTTTTCAGCATTCATTCTCCTCTCCGATTCCCTCCATGGAATGCTCTCTCCTTTTACAACCTTTCCTCCATCCCTCCTGCTTCCCTCCCACCGCCCTCCACACCAATGTGCGATTCCATCTCGCATACAGTACTAAGGTCCTTCAAAGCAAGGGAACAGTAGGGGTCAAGGTAGCATATTTCTCGAGTCAGCCTCTAAATGAATAAGGTGAGGCATGTAACTCGCCGTATTATTGGTCGGAGTCTAATCCAGGCGCAATGAGGTCAGACGATGGCTGGGTAACAAGAGGGCGGGCGGGGGTAGCGGGAGGAGGGACAAGGCATGGTGCGAGAACCTGTGTGGCCACGACAACTCGCGGACAAACATATGGTGTGTCCTGACTGAGTATGAACATGACCAGGTACGGAATTACGGTAGCTATGCTGGTGCTGGCGACCATGGTGGGCCAGTCACAGTCTTTCGTCCTCCCGAGCAGCTTTTGCTCCTTGACAAGTGCGCTGAGCAAGCATGACGCCATTGTCTCCTCAAGAGCTCGACGACCTTCGGGTGTTGCGTTGCGAACAAACAGCATCAGGATGGAGGGGACCATGGTAGCCGATCGAAAACAGTCTGACATGCCTGACATCCCCCACAAGGTCACTTACTTCGGCAAGTCCAAGATCCTCAGCGATGTCCAACTCTTCAAGTTTAACTTCTTCCAACGAAAGTTTGACCACCTCGTCGCGGTAACCGCACTCTCTCCCCATCCTCTTCCTCCCCACTCCCCTCACCTCGCCCCTTCCTCCTCGCCCCCTTCTCGTCATCACCCTCTCGTTACTCCTCCTCCTCCCTGCTAACGTCACCTGGGCAGCAAGGAAAGGCCAAAGAGGCCGTCGAAGTCCTGATAGCCTCCGAGAGCATGATACAAATTTCTCCCCTTCAAGCCGTCAAGCTCCTAGTCGACCTGTTTCAGTCAGGGTTGACCCTCTCCCCCAGCAAGGGCACCAAGTACGCAGGGCAGGAGGCGGAGCAGTCCCCCGGAGAGGATCAGACCAAGGTGACGCTCTGGACAAGGGCGACCGTTGAGATGACGGAGGAAGGGGCAGACGCTAGTCTCACAGATCGGGACTCTGATCCGTGACCATACACTGTGGCACTTTGCCATGACCTCCTCCTCTAGGCAAGCTTCTCCTTAGCTGCATGGCGTGCCCGGTGATGAAGATGACTTGCAGAGAGATGATCGAGCGAGAAATTCGATACGCTGAGATGAAGCTGGGCAAAAGATGGAAGTCGGTAAGTTCTTGTGCAGATGGTGACCCGTGACTAGTTTGCCTCCCCTGAAGCAACAGCCCAGGTTGAGCTGCGACACGACTTGCTGGAGATTCAACCTTACTTCTACTACAAGCTCAACGTCTCAGGCGTTGACGATGTCTCGACCTCAGTGATCTCGTTAGACGCTCTTACCAGCCTTCCAGATCGTCGAGACTCCAGAGCTTGATGAGAGCATCGCGACCCTGTGGGAGCATCTCAGTGCGGGAGAAGCCAAAGTGTCTGCTGCCGCACTTCGAGAAGCGCTTTCCAAGGAATGGCAACTGGTGACTTCTCCTCCTCTATCCTGCCATCTCCATTCTTCTTTGCCTCCCCTCACCCCCCTCCTCCCAACCCCCTTCTTTCGCCTTCCGTCTGTGACTTCTCCACCTTCTGTCGCGTCCTTCCCCTTTACCCATCTTCCCACACCTCCTCCTCCCCTATCATCCCTGGCCCTTCTCCTCCTTTGAGTTTGCTCTCCTGCTACTGTTGTAAGAGTCGATCAGTCATACGAGAACGACTCTGTGCTCGAAGACATCCTTGTACGCGAGGCGGTAACCTACTGCTCCCTTTCCCTGCCCCTCCCTGGCCGGCCCCAGTCTGATCCATCACCCAGGGGGAATCGCCCGCTGGATTTGAGGCTTTCAGAAAGATGTGCTTGCTGGTGTTGCAAATCTGACGGCGGGATGGGGGTAATAGGATTGATGGGACAGGGGCAGGAATGAATCAATATTCTTTGTATGTGTTGTTTGCATTGTGTCACCCTTTGTGAAATTTAAGGATTTCGCGGAGCCCTGCAATGAAGAGCTTCTTCATGCATGCGGATTTAACAAATCTCCCCCACGTCCAAGGATGTTGAAGTCATTATGACGATATTATCCTAGTCTGCCTCCGTATTGCCAACCATTGATATTGATGGGAGGAGGCCGCGTAATTCAAGAATTTCTGTCCCAGTATCTTGAAGAAGTGAGTTGAGAATACAACACCTTCATTTCACGGGAATGCACTTACATGTTCTCTTTATTACAATACAGTTTCACACTTCTTCTTCTCATCTTTGTTTCTTCGATGTATCCTACTGACGGAAGCTCTGCCGCGCCCTCCCCCTCCTTCATCGCTATCTGCTCCTCGATCAACCTGATGCTGTTCCACAGACAGAGGAGCTGCTTCCGCTTCACAGACGATAGCCTCGCCCACTTGTCGTCATCCAGGGGTACTACTGCAGGTGCTGTTGGTGACGAAGATCGGCGGATTGAAGAGCGGGTTGGCAAGCTAACGATGGACATCTGACCGATAGGCTGTTGTGTGTTACAAGTCTTGTAGACTCGAGGCGTAGTGACTAGGTTGCTTGGGTTCGGGAACAGGTGCAGAAGGAGCAGAGAATTTGACAGAAAGAGATCAGAGGCAGGGAGCAGAGCAAGGGCAAGAGCAAGAGACAAGAAGAGATGAGATGAGGACGAGCAGCAGCAGGGGCTTGACTGAAGGACTGGCAAGGACTGGGTCGTGGCAGGTGGTCCAGGATAAGGAGGAGGGGGACTCCCGCAGAGTTTATCTCCGACAGTTGGAGGGGCGCGTAAGCAAATCACGTGGGATCAAAAGGGTGATGAACTGCAATAAGTCAGACATCGCTGGATCACGTGAACTGATGACATGAAAGGACGAGTCGACAGCCCAAAGATACATCGATTCACAATTGCCCTCTTTGATGACATAAATGTGACACGGAAAAGGAGAGTTTTCATCCGCTCCCTTCATTACTACACAGGTGTAGTGCCTGATTAAAAAGGTCTTCCAGACATGCCTCTCCCATCCTCACTCCTCCCTCGGCTGCCCCATGTCTGCTGATCCAACGCCCGCTCACCGCTCGCCCTCATCACATGTATGCCTTCCCTTGAACGATGATCAGCTTGCGAGACTGTCTTCTGTCAAGCGGAAGCAGCTCCTCTGTCTGTGGAACAGTATCAGGTTGATTGAGGAGCGGATAGCGATGAAGGAAGGGGAGGGCGCGGCAGAGCTTCCGTCTATACCCCCAAGTAGGAGCAGAACAAACAAAGCTTGAAGTGAGGCCAATCTTTGTTGAGGCGCCAAGGATCCAATGAAATTGCCACACATGAAATCGCTTGAACATTTGCTCCCTTGGAACAAAACCAAACTGATTCTGGTCTTTCACAATAGATACTGCACTAATAATAAGTAAATTCCATGAAAGCAAAGTGTATCCTTTTACATCTTTTCTCAAGGTACTTGTCATATACATCATGATATGCTTTGACAGACCATGGCTTTGGCGATGTGATTGAATGAACATTGAACTCAGAGCAAGGCTTCATCGGGATGCAAGACCTTCACTTTGATGATACCATCACGAAAGGCATGAAGAGTCAACGTTGATTGAGCATCGCTCTTGATAGAGAAGACGGACGATTCACTGAAATCATCAATCCTTTATTTATGGATCATTTAACTTGATTACTGGACCGAAGGAGAAGCATACGCAGAAGCATATTTTTGAGATGCTCGAGAGCGAAACCTGCTGTTCACTACATCATCATTGTTCACTTCATGTCTTCAGCACATCGGGATCATACAGGAAGAAGTGCTCATCTGGCAGTGTTACAAGCTGTCCACCTTGCTTGAGGTTCAAGTAGAAATCGCACATCACAGTCGAACGATGATGTTCCACAGCAGTGTTGAAACAAGATTTGTTGTTAACCAAAGCAACCTGCATTTTGCGCTGTCTCCCTTCACCGATCTCTTATCGATCATCAACAAATTTGCCTCTCGTTCAGCATCATCTTCTTGCTAAGGTGCTTTTATGATACTCCTCGCACGTTGTCATCCATTACCTGCGCATGGAACATTAACGAGGTATCAAAGTCCATAACCATTGCATCATGGGCCATCAAGTGCCTCTTGATCAGATCCACTTCACTTGTTGATCGCTGTACGCCTCTTCGATGGCTGGGGAGGTGCTCTGGTGAAGCATGGTGAACATCTCCTTGGCACGGAATTGACTGGCGCTGTCACAGCGTCATCATTATGTGTCACGAGGGCGAGATTATGTTCCTAATGCAATCTCTTCGGCTTGATGACATCCCACGGGACAGCCTTACAGAAAATTCAATCTTTACAACATGGCTGCAACAAAATTGCTGGACTGCTACGAGTTTCTGACCCCTTCATCGACCCAAGATAGGGTAACCGCTTCTATCTCATGTCAGCAGAATCTCAAGATTAACCGACTTCATTACTCCACCTTTGCCATTGGTCGTAGAGACATAATAGTCACCAGTACCCGCCCATCCCGCTGCTCTCCTTGCGAGTTCTCTACTCCCCTCCAGCAAACAACCCTCCTAGCCTTCCCTCCTCTCCCCTATACTCTCATGAGCAAGTTCAAATTTCCCTTTTGTCATGCCCTTCCTTATCCTTGAGGATCATTACACTTAGATCTTGATATTACCTGAACACTCAACCTCCGCTAATCATTGTTGTCTTCCTCACGTTTGTTCGAGCAACCCAAGACGATGAATTGCCTAGTCCATAACGAGGTCACTGGATACAGATGCAGAAATTCCGTGAGTTCATTAATGTTGTGAAGGCATAGGAACGGACGTGCTTGTTCATGGTTGGCTCAGTATTGTGCTTGTTCGGATGGAAGGGACAAACAGGAGCAAGAAGATAGTATCAAGTTGCAATAACTTTTCAGGTAACTTTTCAGGTAACTTTTCAGGTAACTTTTCAGGTAACTTTGGACCATCGCTGAATTGATATTGCAACTTGATCTTCTTGCTCCTGTTTGTCCCTTCCTTGTAAGGCTTCCCACGTTCGGGGGCCGGATTTCAAGTCGGCCACGGTTGAGTGGAACTTCGGAACGCAAAGCAAACGCGTACATCCTGTTGATTCCTTGCCCAAGAACAATCATGTTACAGAGCTATTGCTACACGCTGCATGTGAAGATGGATGCGAAGATGCTACATGTCTAAAGCACGCTAGAGTTCTAAACATCGTGTCAGTGCACAGCATGCAGGTGGCGAGCTTCCGCTGAGCCCAAAACGAACATGCTTGAAATCAAGGCCTTGAGCTTTGCGTCATGCTTGATGAAACGCGTACACCCAGCTCAGTCCATACTTTCGTGACCCTAGTTGGATTTTCACACAACCTGCCAATACCCGTGAAAACATGTTGTCGCACCCGTTCAAATGCATACTGTTAATAAGGCACAAATTTCTCATATCAAATATCTTGAACTATGCCAAATCAAAATCCTTGATTACATTATGAGGAGGCAAAAGCAGAATGCTCGTTGTCCCATCTTGTTTGTGAGGGACGGCATGAGTGAAGATTGAGCTGCTTTGACAAACAGCACTGCATATCAGTCTAGTGCCATGATTTACATCTCAAGCATTTGTTTATTAATAAAAACATAACGTTGTTGACTGTGCGAATGAAAAATCATCACAGCAACACTTTGATGGAGCTTGATTCTGAACTTGCAAGATTGGATTACGATGAGGATTATTGCATTCACACTGAAAGCAACACAACCGAAACGATCGTCACGGTGTTATCAAGATATCTCGTCGGGCAGTGGCATGTGCGACAGTGTCAGGGTCAAGCCTCCTCGACTATCCCGGAGTCCTGATTGTCCTCGTTCTGATTTTTCACTTAACTTTGAGTAAAATCTCGTCGGCATTGTGCTCGAATCTTGATGGTCTACCCGTCTTCAGCGTTCAGTTCTGCATATCCCGAGTCCCTACCGTGACCATCCGGCCGCGAGAGGGCTCGGCGAAGCGGCCGGGCGGCCGGGCCCCGGGTAACCGTGGCAAGCCGGCGAAACAAGCCCGCACCAACTATTTGCCTATATTGAAATTGAAGGACAGCAAATTCGCATTAGCTGCTGAATGTAATTTAGAATGGCACTTGCCGCATACCCACGAACCTGGAGCTGCAGTCCCTGCTGCAGTCCAGGATGCCGATACGTTGTAGAGCAGACGACGCGGAAGAGAGTGCGAAGAGGAGAAGGTAAGATGGAAGACGAGCCGGAGGGAGTGTTCATAGCTTTGACGGGTAGCATGCGAGCTGCCGCCGAAGAAGGCTCATTCGAAGGTGTAGCCTGTTGGAACTTGTAGGATGGTGATCATGGTTTAGGAGGACTTGTGTGGTTGTGCGATGAAGCGTTCAATCTTTGCTATCATCTCACTCTTCCTTGCCAGGGAAGAGGATCACGACTTGATGACTCATCAGCGAGATCCGCTTTTTGAGATGGACCCTGCCAAACGAGAAAAGTTTGAAGCTGCCCTGAGGCAAATCTTCCCTCGCCTTCACGCTACTCGTCCTCATCCCACACGGAGGCCGCAATTCAAAGAGTTCTGGTCAGAGATTTTGAAGCTTCGTGCCGAATCTCTCAACCAGCTTGTGTTTGTCGCTCGCTTCCACACGCAAGAACATCAGAATATCGACGCGATCTGTGGGTGCGAGGATCTCAACGAAGATGCCCAGACCGTCCTCGAGCAGTGGATCAATCAGCACTCGCAGTCGACTTGGAGTGAGTTCTTGAATGAACGGCAGCCTGAGGTTGATATAGACACGAGAGAGACGGGGACAAGATGGGTGGACCTGATGATGAGACTGGCTGAACGAGAAGAAGTGGACACGTCGTTGCTAGACGGCGAGTTGAACCTGGACTGCGAGATGGAGCATCACAAGATTGCCCATGAGAACCTTGGAAGGGAGGAGAACCAAGCGCAGGCAGAGGCAGATGCTTTGGAACAGTTGAAATGCACGTTGATCAAGCACAGAAACGAGATTGAGCAGAGGGTGCGGGCTGCCGTGTTCCTGTTCAAGAAAATTGAGAGTGGTGAATGTGTAGATCTCTTCATTGAGATCTACATGGCAAGAGGGATTAAGCAAGTCTTCGAGAAGTACTGCCGAGGACTGCAAGTGATCGACCCCAAGGATCCCAATCTGACTTTCATACGCACCAGGAGCTGCTGTCCGACTAGTTCCAACAAGAAGGAGCGTACTGACTTCACGTGTCTTGATGCAAAGTGCACACTAGAATCGTTGCACAGGTTGAATATGGAGGGAGTCAAGTATGTTCAAGTGTACCTTGTCGAGACGGGAGAGAAAAATGGGCAGAAAAATCAGAATTTCACGACCAAGGACCGCAAGATCATCCATCCATGCTTCGTTGACAAGTGTGTTCGAAGATACAAGGTAGAGCAAGGGTGCGATATTGGAATCATCGTCAAGGTTCTTCCCAACCATCTCGATGACTCTGGTGAGTTGTACTTGCTCCCTGCTTCCAGATGCCAAGAGCTGAAGGTGAAACTTGTTGACTTAGATTCTCCCCCCTTGTATTTCACCGAATCGTCGGGCACTTCCCTACAGCTTGGTGAAAGTGTCATGACCAAGAAGATTGATATGAGAGGTGAGGAGAGATTCGGCTGGGTGGAAGTTGTGAAATTGATCTTATGCTCAGGAAAGACCGAGGTGAATGCTTGTATAACACATAGTGGAGACCTGGAAATTTTGCAGATCCAGCTCCAGACAGTTTGACTGTCGATGATGGACAATAACACCGAACGGGTACATATGTATCAAGCAGCTTGTCTCATCAGGCAAAGAACACATGAATCTCGCTTAAAACAAATTATTGAAAGAGAAATCAATTCTACCAAGGCTATTGCATCCACGGTCTGAAAGCGCAAGGCATCTTCATTCTGAATGAGATCAAGATCTGAAAAATTTATTTCAAACGTCACTAGAATCAATTCATAGGGAGCTAATGTAGTATGAAAGACCTAGCCTTCAGCTAAACCGATCAGAATCCGAGCAGAGCCATTCAGACTCCACTAGTAGGAGAAACCATACTAGTTTCCTCCCTCATAATACTTCAGTCTAATGTTCACTCTTGCACCATACTTGCAAGTTACGAATAGAGTACAATTAAAGCCGCTTGAACCACAAAAATTCCTCTCACTTGTAGACATCTTTCGCCATCTTCTTGTTATATGAAACCCTCGAAATGTTCTGACCGGACTCCGTGTATTCGTACATCATCATCTCATCTTCGTCGACCGGGTCCTCGTCATCAAGGCTAGAAACAAGCTTTGCATTGCAAAAGCAAGGCACAGGTCGATGGTCTTGCTGTGGTAGTGGTGCGTTGTTGAACATTTGCTTCGGGCAGTCGAAAATTGAGGAAAGGTCCTCTTCGAAAGCGTCAGAATATGTTGGAAACAGAACATTGTTCTTCTGGCATGGAGACCACGACTTGCAATAACGCTCTCTGAAAGCATTCTTGATATATTCGCTGTCAAAGTCTGATTTGATTTGCATCGTTCCATTCGAGGAGTCTTGCTGGAAATCTGATGAAATGTGTTGGACCTGAGACATTGTACAAACAAGGAGTTCGAAAGGGGTCTCGTTACTTGCTTCTGAGGATTGACACAGGGCAGGGAAGGAGAAAGTTTCCACGCGTTGGTGGGAGTTGGAGGAGGAGGATTTGGATGCTGAAGAGTGGACGGCAAAGGATATCTATCGGGCGGAAATCCTGTTTGGGAAGGCCGCAGGACGGGTGCCAATGTACTCATGAGGTAGGGTGGTCGACAGGAAGGGTCGAGTCAGCAGCTCTGGTTTCGGTTATGTGCTGAAGAAGGTTGCCAAAAACGTAGGGTGGGGTGAATCTGCTGATTGTAGGGTGGGTGGAGAGGTATGAGAATGGACGGGGTAGTCAAATAGAAGATTGGAGGGTTGAGGGTAAAAGGGGTACTCTAAAACCGGGATATTACACAAGAGGGTAGGGAGGGTAGGGTGCAGGGGTGACTTGTTCTATTGGCTTTAGCACCTCAAATCTTTTGGGAAAGATTGAAGAAAGCTGTAGAATTTCTCTCATTATTTTGAAATTGTAGAAATATATTTCGGTAATGGACTCAAGTTTGAATGTGTCCATGTTATGGAAATTATTACTCAAATTTCAACATAGTACTAGAACACTGTTCACCCTTCGGAGCAGCTGCCGAATAGTTGCGGTAGGTGACTACTACTGCTGGTCTCCTAGGTTGCCGTAGGATACCTACACCACTTCCTATGACCTTGCGAAATGAGTTAACTTCATTACTTGTTAGCGACCTGGGCCGGGGCCTTGGCCAACTCGTCGGCGGCCGAGACCGTCCGGGGCCCGGCAGCTATGCTCTAAAATGAACCACAAATTATGAAGTAGCTGCCAGTCACAACGAAAAAATGAAATCTATATGTGTAATTTGATTATAAACAGCAATATTTGCTCAGCTCCAGTGCCAAATATTCTATGGTTTAGTGGCTTTGAACCCCCCTGTGGCAACACTGAATCCCCCGATGGTCGGAAGCATTGTAGTCGAAGAGGAATGGCAGCGAGGACGGACAAGGGCGAGGTCAACAATGAGAGGATGCACAGGAGTAGACGAGGAAACAAGTGTTTTTCATCACTAGGAGCCGATAGCTTGCGGATCTTGACGTTAAGATCGCGAGCGAGGTCAACTTTTCATTTCATGCCAGTGCATACAGGTCATGCAGTGGTGAGGGAACAATGGGGTTTCATGCACGCATTTTTTTTTCTAATGGAAACGCAAACAGCAATAGCGGGGTCTTTTGTGCCTCACAACTGATGTATAACACAAAAGACACATGCCAGTCTAAGTTAGCTCTCCTCGATGTTGTTTCTAATCGCTTTTGATTGGCAGGCTACAACACTTTGTCTTGTCTGAAGATGATCAGATCTCCGGACGACTCCTTCAGTCAATATGCGCAGCTCGTTTATAGATCAGTGGATGAAATCGAAGAGGAAGAAGTACGAACGAAAGCAGTGAAAGTGATACCTCGAAGTGACCCTCTCGTCACCCAAATGAGAGGAGACAGCTCAACAGAGGATGTGCAGAACATGCGCAGACATTCTCTGACACGCGCAGATTTCTGCAATCTCTTCTTTGCCCTCTCGCAGATGGAGCAGCAAGGCTTGCTGACGGAGGCGGAGATAGAGAAGCTGCAATTGAGGTGGACGCTGCGAACTGACGTGGGAGCTAGTGGACTGACGGGGGGTGAGCAGCATCGTGAAGAAGGATCATAGCGTGGGGGAGGCGTTTCGGAAGTTTGAAGTGCATGGGAATGTAAGTAGGAGTGCAGAGGAGGGCAGAGGAGGGCGGGGGGAGGAGGGAGGGAGAGTGAAAGAGGGGAGCGGAGAAATGGAAGAGGAAGGGTGATGATTGCGGCACAGGAAGAGGCATTTGCAAGAGATCTTCAGAGATATTTGTACATTTATCGGGAAGCGGACGATGGGGAGTCGTCACCGGGCTCAGAATGCGGATCAAGAATCAGCATGACTCTGGCAGTTTAGATCAGGGCAGAAAAATCGCGGTGATTGTAGTGATACTTTATTTGTGATTTACGCTTGTACATGTTTGATATTCACGACCCCACTGGGCTCTTGAGTGCCGCCGGCTCTTCGTCCCATAGAGTTACAACATTTTCAGTACAAATTGACAGAAGGCAGTAACTCTCATGCGGGCGATATTTCAGGATCTCTCTATCCTTTTCAGCCGCTCCTTGCTGACCTCCTGTGGGTTTGGATTTCGACTGAATCACATCATTCTGTATGGGATCGAGTCGGAAACACTGCCGAAATCAAATTTGCCTCAACCCAGCCCCTGGCTTCCATTTCATGCTAATCGCTAATTCCGAATGCTCACTGATTCAGAAGGATTGAAACTGAACATGTGGCATCTATCTGGCATTAATCGGCCAGGTGGGACTCAGGCCGATCAAGCCCTGCACTCTACCTCAAGTGGCCATGTGAGCTCTGAGCATTCGGAAGACAAATGGCCAGAACTCAGTTTCCTTCTCACGCTGAAGCGCCCATCGATGTCTGACCCGTTGTATCGTGTAATAGCACAATGTAGAGATGACTGAGACCATAAGGCCGACTCAAAAAGAAAGTTTCACTCAATGAGGAACAAAATTGAAGTAGCCGCAACTTGAACAGCAAAAAAACAGACCAATTCGAAGCGGGCAAGCTCGTCGAGTTGGTCGTTAATATGAAGTATCCTAACCCAAACATCAACCTAACCATCCCTACCTGGACCAGCAAACAGCCAAAGCTGATCGACTTGCTGATCACGACCATCACCACTAAACGTACACACACTTACGCAGTTCTTTTGCAAATGCCTCTTCCTGCCTCGAATGGTCAAGATCGTCCTCCCTTCCTCCTCCCCCCGCTTGCTCTCCCCGCCCTCCTCTGCCCTCCTCTGCCCTCCTACTTACATTCCCATGCACTTCAAACTTCCGAAACGCCTCCCCCACGCTATGATCCTTCTTCACGATGCTGCTCACCCCCCGTCAGTCCACCAGCTCCCATGTCAGTTCGCAGCGTGAACCTCTTGTGCAGCTTCTCTATCTCCGCCTCCGTCAGCAAGCCTTGCTGCTCCATCTGCGAGAGGGCAAAGAAGAGATTGCAGAAATCTGCGCGTGTGAGCGACTTATTCTGATCTTCAGATTTAAGCGGCACGGAATGCACGAGGCTCGCTGATACGGATGGTTCCATCCAGGTATAGTCGACGTCTGCGAAGTCCAGCTTGTGCTGTTGCTCTGGTGAAGAGGGAGTGTCTTCAATATGCTGAGTTGAGTTGCTTCCTTGGACAGCGTGATTCTGATGCAGATTGAGAGGTTTCAAGACAAGGTCCGCCATTTCATGGAAAAAGCTGATGGTGGCATCGTTGGACATTTCCTTTTGCCAGAATGTCAAGTCTCGACCTACAGCAAACTCAAACGTAAGGAATTACAACACCAACAAGATAAAATCCAAGGACCATGAAGCTTGCCCTCTGCAAGAGTTCTATTGATGGTTATGCGTCACATCGACAGATCCATTCAAAATGGAAATCAGTGCAATTGCAGTCATGGATGAAAGGACAGGGAGGCCAGGATAGGAATGGTGCAGGATGAGAGCATGCAAGAGAGGTTTGCTAACGCATGCATCAACAGCAGGGACGGGCGTGACGGAGCAGCGGCTGAGCAGGAGAAGGATGGTCATCGACAGTTGACGGTGCATTTCGCGTGTAAAGAAAGTTTCATGGGGACCTCCCGGTGTCGGAACAGCCGTACCAGCACCGGGCGTCACCGGGTCACCTGGATAGCATAATTTACTACCTCTTTACTCAAAGTTAAGTTAAAAATCAGTACGAGGACAGTCGTTCCTGAAAAATAAGGGGTACTTTATTGAGGATAATGGGGGGTGATGGTTTGGGGTGGTTGATCTCTCTACACCCCCTACGGGCCCTGTCCGGACCCACCCTGCAAGCACCCTAGCAGTATGTACCCTACCCCCCTTCAATTTCACGTTCAACGTCCAAATTTTAAAATCATTCTGCCACTCATTTTATAAGAGTTCATCGTAATTTCAAAAGTTGCAAACATTTTGTCTCGAAACAACCAAAAAGTGGCCGAGGAACTTGAAGGATGGGTGGAGGGGTAGTGACCCCTACCCCCTCCCCCAAGTACCACCGTTATACGGACTTGAGGAACATTTGGGTTTGGGTCGTCCCAGCCGGTGACCATAGAACCCAAGGACCCCACCCCGTATGGTCCAGTACCCCCGAGCTCCACAACCCTACAGCTGAGGTCTACCCCTCATTCCTATATCCTGCACCCACCCACATCCCCTTTAACATGCTCCTAAAAGTACCCCTACCCCCTTTGTAGAATCTGGCCTCATCCCCTACCTTCCTACCGACGGAGTCCCCAATTTTGTTATGCCTTGGCGGCGAGAGCCAAGGAGGAGGAGAGAGGGGAAGGAGAGAGATGCGAGGAAAGGAGGGGAGGGTAATGCAGGGAGGACTACATGTAGGGAAACAGGTTGGAATGGAGTTGTCAGAGTGAGCCAGCATCGGTTCCTGTTGGGGATAATTCTAGGGATAATGGAGGAGTTAAACAATGGATAAGATGGAATGTGAATCATGGCGAGAGAACTTTCCAGGAAGCAGGAGAGAGGAGGGACGGTAGCCCATCGGAAAGGGCAAAGATGAGAAATCTTGAACAAGAATGAGGGGAAGATAAAGGCAAAGTTGGAGGACAACGGGCAGGGGAGCAATGCAGTTTTGAAATGGTTCAAAGGGATCGGGTAGTTGTGCGGCAGGAAGGGGCAGAAAGAGAGGAATAAAGTGATCTCAACAGAATAAATTTATGATACTTAGATAAAATCATATATCGTTGTAAAGATTAATCAATGGGGAGACAGGAAGGCATAGATAATTACACTAGCGGATCACGTTTCGGGTGGCAATGCGAAGGAATATTTGAAAAGCCGAGATTTATCATTCAGACTCTTCCTCGTTTAATGTAGACAATGTGGAATTGAAACAAGGCTGAAAGCATCCTTGTGCTTGAAATCATGATATCAAGGAAATATTTCAAGACAGTTTTAGGTTGTGCCATGTCATCCTTGATTCGATGGATCCCTGATTTACATCCATCCCCACGAAAGATGCACTAGACAGGAACTATGCGTATGAGTGCATCAACTGTAAGCATGTATTAGACCAGCGGAATACATATGAATGCACCAACACGCAAGCGAGCTAGCTTTCTATTTGTTGACGAACCCTTTCATCGTAGTATTGCTTGATTAAGTTTCTGATCGCTGGTTGTAGAGGCTCGCCAGGCCCGGCTTAGCACCTGCGATTCAAGATGACGGAATCCTTGAAGGAGCATTTGAAGCGAAGAGCATTTGTTATCGCTGAAAGGCAAGCGTACACCTTCGGCCTTGGGCTTCGTTTTGCATCGAGGTTTGACGCAGTTGCAGGTTGGAATTGGAGCTCACGGTTGGAGGGACTGATTACGCTCCGCTTGAGAGAGCAGTGTTCAAAAGCACCAAGGTGCGATGGGATGTTTCATGTTGTTTCATGTGTTAACTCGCATCTCTCAGAACAATACCAAAGCTCCTAAGGAAAAACACATTTCCTTTTTGCAGAGAGCGATAACAGATGGTGACAACAGCAAGACTGTCCTTAAGGTTCGCTATGGCTCATGCTTGGGATGCAGCTTATCATTGAATGGCAGATGCTAGCCCGGCGGCTGAAAGAAGCGAGTCAGCCGGGTGTGATCTCTACATCCTATGCAGCTGGTGAGGTCTTGTTGGCTCAGACTATTTTGACGAGTTGATCTGCTCCTCTCGCCTCCCCCATATGATCAGGTGTGAAGACTATTGCTGTTCTCCATCGTTGCATGAACAGTGGTGACAACTCCTTCATCGCCTTATGCTCCAAGGTACAGCATGATAGTTTGCGACCTCAAATGTTTTGTTGTTTGAGTTGCATGCAGTATTCTCAGATTTTAGAGGTCCCAACATCAAACCCGTATGCTCAAATGTGCGTTGTCATCTCCGGGAACGGAAATTTTATTGACTTGGGATGTCAAGCTACGGCAAGTACGTTCGGGAGATGCTTGGGTGCTTTGCGATTTGCAAGCACTCGTATCAAAGGTCGGCCTCGAAATGTTGGTGAGTGTCACTGATGGCAGTGCAGAGAGACAGAGTTCGAAGAGAGCATGATCGTCAAGCTAGGAAACAACGACCTGGTGGAGCATCTCACATGCATTGATCTGCAGGTGGGGAAAGATAAAGGTCGGCCGTTTCCTGATACTCCCTTGATATTTTATGCACCAGTTAACGAAGCTACTTGATTGCGACCTGCAAGGAGGATTGATGGAGGCGAAGAGTAAGAATGCCGTGCAGGTGCGTGTGTTCTTGCTGCCTCATCTCACGTCCGTTTCAAGTGACGATGCTTTCAGTACGCTATCAACCTGCTGCTCTTGGATGCGATGTCGTTGTTCAGCGCTTTCGAGGAGGGAATGTCGAGAGTGCGACAGTGTATCGGTCAGTGACCTTGTTGACCCGCTCAGGAGTCTTGCTCACTTGCGTGCAGGGCAACAGTCTGTTACCAACGCAAAGAAGATGGCGAAGCTGTACTCGAAGTTTGTCACGGTGATAAGGATGAAGATTGTGGTGCTGATGATAATGATAAAGACGATGATAGTAGTCGGTGTTTGGTTAGGTGATGGTGGTATCATGGTCGATGATGACAATAGCAATGATATGAAGGGGTTTTGGGTTTAGGGTTTAGGGATTGTGAAAGTTACTTGCATTTGACATGGTTATTCAGTTTCCCTCCAAGCTTCAAAGCTATATACAGCAAGCAAGCTTCGACCGAGACTGTACTTTGTTGACTGATTGAACCAGATCGCTAAGACTCGAATCATGCAGGTGCCATCCCGCTCACTGCGTTTGACAAGACGGCTATCAAGAAGTTCAACAGGAAGCTTGAAGATTGTCTGGTCAGTGGAAGTCATCTAGTATTTTCTTGTCTTGATGCTGCTAGCAGAAGCTGATCAACTCCGACGACGGATGGTGCGTCGGACGCTCTGCTGACGTTGTTTATTTTTGACACTTGAGAAGCTACGAGACCGTGAAGGCCCTGGCCGATGTTGCGATCGACGCGAACCAGCAGCTGAATGTATCGCGACGTTATTGATCTTGTTTCTTGCTTGCTCCTCTTCCCGTTTCCTTTCGCCTTGTTCGCCTTGATCAATGTTGCTCTTCTCCTGCGATACCCTTCTTCACCTCTCTTCTTCCTTGAACCTGACATCTCGAAGAAACTTCCTGCTCTTGTTTGCTGTCTGACCTGCCTGTGTCTCCCAGGATGACGAGGAGCTGCCCCAGAGTGTGGCTAAGATCTCGCTGGAGGAGATTGAGGAAGAGGTTTCGATCTGTTCCTTCTTGCAGATCTCCTTCACACCTTGAAACTCTCACAGTCAAACACAAAACGAAAGTTTGAGGCTTCGAAAGCCAAAGTATAACACAAACACATACTAGTTTGTTTTGCTTCTTCCCTTCCTGTCTCCTCTCCCTCTCCTCTCTTCTTTTCCTCCCATCCGCCCTCCCTTTCCCCCTTTTCTCCTTGCCTGTTTCATCTGCATATCTACTCTTCCATTGCTGACTTTCTTATCAATAGAAACTCGAAGCCTCGGATGACCTTATCAAGCTAGACGACATCTTTTCGTCTGGTGTCAGAGATCGTAAGTGTTCTCCTCCTCCTCCTCCTCCTCCTCCTCCTCCTCCTTTTCATCTCTCTCTCGCCTTCTCCCTCTCCTTATCCTCCGTTGCCCTCTCCCTCATCGCCTTTCTGACCGCAATCATTCTGCAACTTGCTCAAACAGACTTTACCTCTCATGCTGCTACTCATGTCAACGCCGACGACTGGGATCCCTTCGGGGCGGGCGGTACCAACCATCAAGACGCAGCCAACAATCCCTTTGGGTAAGGGGGAGGGGCAGGGGCAGGGGCAGGGGCAGGAATAAACTAGTTTCTTACTGCTGATGTCTCCAGAAGAACGAAGGAGGAGAACCCTTTTACTGATGATCCCTTCGGCCCACCGGTCCCGGTAAGCCTCCTGCTGCTCCTCTTGCAACCCTCACGCCCTCTCACCCCAACTCTTCAATCTCTTCGGATTGTTGTCTGCTGCTCCTGCGATCTTGACTTGCTCGATCAGGCGAACATTAGCAGCAATGTACTCTCGGGCGACAACCTCAAGCTCCTCTATGCCGCAGTCAGTCTATTCCCTCTCTCCCTCCCTCCCTCCCTTCACCCTTCCAAGCTCCTCTATGCCGCAGTCAGTCTATTCCCTCTCTCTCTCCCTCCCTTCCTCCCTCCCTTCACCCTTCCTTTTCCCTCTCCCACTGCTTTCCTTCCCTTGTTGTATCTATTGCACTGCGTATTTTCGTTCTCCTCCCCTTCCTCCACCCCCACCCCACCCTCCTCCTCGCCATTTAGTGAACTGGGAGGGCTGCAGGGCCCTCAGGGCATGACGATGCCCAACATCGCTCAAGTACATGGGAATATCCACCCACTGTCTAGCATGCAAGGGATGAACAGCCATGCGCCGACGATGCCGGTGACGTGTCATACCGGCTGTCATGCAGTGACGGTATGAGCAGATGGGAATGAATGGTGGAGCCAGCATGATGGGGGGAGCGGGTAACACGATGGGAGGAAACATGCTGGGCGGAGGAATGGGAGGCAATGGCATGATGGGAGGAAACAGCATGATGGGAGGCAATGGCATGGGAGGAGGGAACATGATGGGAGGAGGAGGAATGGGAGGAGGAAACATGATGGGAGGAGGAGGAATGGGAGGAAACATGATGGGAGGAGGTATGGGAGGAGGAAACATGATGGGAGGAGGTATGGGAGGAGGGAACATGATGGGAGGAGGTATGGGAGGAGGGAACATGATGGGAGGAGGTATGGGAGGAGGGAACATGATGGGAGGAGGTATGGGAGGAGGGAACATGATGGGAGGAGGTATGGGAGGAGGAAACATGATGGGAGGAGGCTCGTCCAGCATGTTTACGGCAGCTGGAGGCGGCTTGGGAGGGATGGGACTGACGACCGGAGGGCATGACGGACTCGGGATGGGGATGGGAGGAAACCATACGGTCCAAGGGTTTGGCCTGCAGGTAAACTCGAGCTGGGGAGCTGGTAGATGAGCTAAGAACTGACGGATTGACAGGGTGCTGGTTCGAACCCTTTCGAGTGACCAACCTCCAATTTTCCAGCTGATCCTGCAGCTGGGGTCGAGTCTGACTAGGGAGTGGAGAGGCGGGTCTGATTGCTGGCAGGGTGTAAATGACAAGTGAAGAGTAAGAATTTCCTAATGAAGACAAGAAGCCACCAGAAAGTGAAGAGGAGGGAGCAAGCGAGAGGAGGAGCAAGTGGTGGAGGAGGAAGTTATGACGTATCATAGCTCGTCGTCCTCATCGTCCTCGTCGTCCTCGTCCTTGCGCTTGGATCGACTCTTGTCAGAGACCCGATGGACCTTGGTCCTCTGCTGGGAGGGTGAGACGCTGCAGCAGACATGTTGGCTGTACCTCCTTGAGCCTGGCAAGGAGCCGCTGGTATCTGCTCAGGTTGAGGATGAGCAGGCGTTTCTCGTCCCTGTGGGGGCTCAGTAAGGGTGGGGATAGAGGGCAGAGGGAGGGGAAGGGAAAGGAGGGAAGCGCCGAACGAGGGGCACAAGGCGCTGGGGTTGGGATGTGCAGGAAGATAGAGACAAGGGAGGATGGAGGAGGAAGAAGTAGTGAGATTACAGAGATGAGAGGATAGTGGGGGGGATGAGAGCACGAGGGAGAGGACAGGGGGAAGAGGTGGGGGAAGAGGGAGAGGGAGAGAGTTGGTGAACCGGCGCAGGATGAGAGCAGTCTTGACGTTGTGAGGCAGGTCGTTCTTGATGATGTTCTATAGAAACGAGAAGTGAAAAGGCAAAGAAGAAGAGGAGCGGAATGAGAGGAGGAGGAGGAGGAGGAGGAGGAGGAGGAGGAGGAAGAGGAGGAGGAGGAGGAAAGGAGGAGAGTGAGGGGAGGAGGGGGAGAGGGGAGGAAGCGATGCAGAGCGGAAGATAGACGAGCGAGGGATCAGAGCGGAGGGTGTGAGAGGATGGGACGGGACGGGACGGGGCAAGAAAGGCAAGGAAGGCACGGAGGAGGAACCTCATCGTCGATCAGCCGGGTAGGGTACTGGGAGAGGAGCCCTTCAATAGCATCGATCTGAGATGAAGAGATTAGAGGAGGAAGGGGAGGAGAGAGGATGGGAGCAGAGCCAAATAGAGGAGAGGAGAGGCAGCTACTGAAAAGCGAAAAGGAAGCAAGTGATCCTACCAAGGTCGTATACACGCAGATTTCATTGGAGTCTGAAATTTGCTTTCCCCGCAGAATTTTTCTGTCAAGAGGGAGTTGCAGCGAGGAAGAAAGAGCCAGAATCAGAAAGGAAGAAAAGAGGAGAGCAGAGCAGAGCAGAGCAGAGCAGAGCAGAGCAGAGCAGAGCAGAGCAGAGCAGAGCAGAGAAGAGCAGAGAAGAGCAGAGCAGAGCAGAAGAGCGGAGAGGAGAAGATGAGGTGAAATCAAGATGAAGTATAAAACATCAGAGTATCAAAACCATTTTTCAGCGTCTCACCTGCTCTCTCCGCTTTCCATTTCTTCCTTGGTAGCACAGAGGACTCGCAGGCAATCCAACGACTATTGACACGTCAGCGGCAGCACGGGCAAGATCACTGAGAGAGGAACGAAGAAGTTCAGCTTCCATCGTCAGAGAGCTCAGGAGATGAGCAGCAAGGAGAAGAGAAGATGAGGTGATGGGTCATCTGATGAGTTGTAGAGATGGCACCCCTTGCCTTATTCTCGAGCCCGGACAGCTTGAGCTGGTGTCTGTCGCCCATGTTGAAGCCAAGTTTCTTCATGAGCATCTCCTACACGATGATGAATAGGGATTCAGGAAGAACGTGAGTGGAACGAGGAAGGAAAGGAAGAAACAAAGGTAGGGAGGGGAGGGAAATTGGAGTGGGATGCAGGAGGAGAAAAAGGAGAAGGAAGAGGAGGAGTCGTAGGCAGAGGGAAGCAGTACTTTGTCTCGGTAGAACGGCTGGTCGTTACCAATGGAGGCAGCGATACCAACGTAGTCGTGAGGGTTTGACTCGATGACAAAACCGTACTGCAGGAGATTAAGAGACAAGCGGGGTAGTTGGGGAGGGAGAGGCAGGAGGCAAGAGGAGCGAGGAGGGGGGCCGGGTTGAGAGAGGAGAGAAGAGGAGAGAAGAGGAGAGGAGAGAAGAGGAGAGGAGAGAAGAGGAGCAAGTCAGTCGAGCTGTCAGTTGGTATGCTGGCATGTAGTTCTCACCTGCAGGAGGAATTCTGCGTTGTTCTTCGAGTCATAGTTCATGAAGATCTGCATGCTTCTATTTCAGAGTTTGCACTCTCCAACACCCTTACATCATCACCTGCTCTCCCCGAGAGAAGAATTGTTGTGTGAAGAGCTCAAAATGCCCAGACGCCGCGTTGAACCTGTGACGACGACGAGGACACGAGCAGGCAAGCAAGAAGCATCAGCACAAGAAAGAGTCTTGCAGCCACAAGTTCATTCAGCATCTCACGTGTAAGAAGTTTTGACGTCCCCATGGTTGAACAGATCCGCCATCGGCGCCATGATCCTTTGCCGCCCGCTGAAACCTGTCGGCAACCTCAGCCAGGCAACGAAGTCCAACATTCGCGTCACCGAAACTTTTCCCATCCACATCGAAGGCTCTAGCAAAGATGGTGGCGTATGCCCACTTGAACTCCTTGATATGTCAAAGTCACCGACCAGTCAAACCCGTCCACCACGACGGCTGACCTTGAGCGAGTAGATGGCCTTGGGGAGATCCGGGAAGACGTTGTGCTGTCCGAGGACGCGGGCAGTCGATCTAGCGTGCACATGTCACTGACAATGATTGTGGATTGCCGGGTTTGTTCTTCGTCTACCTGTGCAGCTTCTCCACATTCATCGTCCATCCGTCAAGCATGTTGTAGAGGTTTGAGCCTGTTGCAATTAGAAACATGAGGGCGTTGCAATTAGAAACATGAGGGCGTTGCAATTAGAAACATGAGGGCCAGGTGGGGTGAAAGTTTATCCTACCTTGCAGCTCCTCTCTCTCCTTATCCGACCAGAACAATGGCTGCAAGCACCAACCTCAACGCTAACATGGTCCCTCGTCTCAAACTCACTGTCGTCAACTTTCGGGGCAAAATCTTCATCCAAGGATGGAAATCGTGACTGAATGAACAGTGAGAAAGCAAGCGGAGAAAGGGAAAGGGACGAAAGCAGAGATTGAAGGAGGGAGGGGTGGAGGCAGGCAGACAGACAGTCAAGCAGGGGGGGAGGCAGGGAGGAGGCAAGGAGAATGCAGGTAGGCCAGCGGGGAGGGAGTTGGAGAGGGAGGGAGGGAGAGAAGGAGGGAGAGGAGGGAGAGAAGGAGGGAGAGAGAGCTTCGCCAGCAACCTCTCATTGTAGTACAAGACCGTCAGATGCATCGCTAGCAGCGGCATGCATTCATACGTCGAGTCCTCCCCTGGGCCCTCCCGTCACAAGACGTCCCCTCCGCTCAGCCCTCCCTCTCACCCCCCGAGCAATCGTCCAGCCCGTGCTCCCTGAACGCCCTCCCAACCTCCGATCGCCTTGCCTGAGGGCACACAGTCAGCAGGTGCAGGAGAGCCTCGCGCCCATGGCAACCATGTCAGGAGTGATGAGAAGCTCTGGAGGGACTGCGAGCATGGTCTCTCCAGGCCTGCCGAGGGTGAGACTCGAGGCAACCACATCGCAGCGGCGCACATGAAAGAGCGACGAGCCAGCAGCCCTCTTCCTGTCCCGTTGGTGATCGCTACATCCACCTGACTCTGCAGTCTCTTCCTCAGGTCCTGCCTGACGGCTTGACAGGGGGACACTGACCTGAAAGTTCATCCCTTTGGCTGTCAACCATTCCTTTCCAGCCGTCAGTCCAAGAGAGACATCGCACAGCTCAGCTCACCAAGAAGTCTTTCATGTCCTGATCAAGATCCTCTCGATCATGGAAGGGGACGACATCTTTCGAACCCATCATCCTCCTAGCTACAACCACCAGTCGCTTCACCTTCAGTGCCGGAGTCGAACTCATCAAAGATAGAGGCCTGCAAGGGAGCGAGTCACCGATAGTCCCAGCACTCTCCATACTATCATCACTCCTCCACTCACCCTGCCATGAGCTAGCAAGCTCAGCACCAGGACTGCCATCCACAGCCATCGTCCCCCTAGCATCCCTTCGACCCGGCGGGATCTTCTCCCTCCTCTGCTCATCCACTCATCCCGGCTTTGCCTGCATGCGGATCCGGCTGGCTGAGAGGAAGAGATGTGCATGTCTCTTCCTCTGCATTCTTCTTCTCTCGCTCTTCTCTTCGCGCCCTCCCCTCGCCCGCTCCCTCTCCACGCCATCACCCAAGTCGTTGGGGATGAGCCCCGGGTAAGAGGGTGGATGTGGTCAAATTCTGGAATGACGGACCATGTCTGACCGTACGGTACGGTACTACTAGTGACGTAAAGCGTCGGAGTGACTCCGGGCCGGTGCGGTCACCGTTAACCGTTGAACTGAGCGGGCCGCGCAGCACTGCAGTGCAGTGCGGCGGCCCGGCCGCCGACGCAGGCCCGCCGGGCCGTCACCGTGACTGCGACGCCGCGCCGTACCGGCGGGCCGCCGGCCCCGCCCTAAGCCTAATGAGCCGCCGGACTCAGCTGTCACGTAACGGAGGCTTGAAGGAGTCCGCTGGATACACCGGCGGTGAAGATTTTAATGCTCGTGTCACCGTCCGTGGCATGGCATCATCAGTTTGGCCGACTCTGAGTAGTAACCGTGCCCTCTGACTCACTGGCAGTGAGTTGCCCGGCCCGCCGTGGCGTACTCCGTAGTATACGGGTAGTACGGGGGGACTCACAGGCTTGCCGGAACTTGGAACACCGTACGCCGTGACGGTCGGTCCGTCCGGGACTCAGCCCCTGAGGATTTCAAGTTTAGCGTAAGTTACGTGGCAGTGTACTGAGTCACCCGTGACCGTACAGTGATCTGAGCCTATCCTGATACGGCCCGGGCAAGGCTAGCAGCAGCAGCCTGATCACTCGGAGTCACCACTCGGATCAGTCGGTCACTCAGATCATCTCCGATGTCCGGGATCATGGCATACGGCAACTTGATCCGCCTCAGGGCCCGGGTGGCCCCCGGGCGTTACAGGGCTAACGGAAGCCGTTGGACACACAGAGTGCTAACCAGATCATGGTTTCACCCGACAAGAATGTTTAGGGAAGAAGAAGGGGGCGGAGGGGGGGGGGGGGGAGGCGGAAACCGAGACCGAGACAGAGACTGAGACCGGGACCTGGACCGGTACTGAGACTGAGACCCAGAGCATAGGGGGGGGGCTTAGGGGGGGGGGGGGAAAGCTATTCAACCAAAAATTCCTGGGAACGAAAAAAATATTTTAACCCCCCCCCCCCATTGATGGTAAGAGGGGGGGGCCCTGCCACGGAGATCGTTAGATGGAGGGATAGAAAAAGAGGGAACAGAGTGTTAATTATTTTATATTTAGTGATGGTATATATGAAAAAATAACTATATATGAAAAACTCGGGGGGGGGGGCGCAGGGGGGGGGG